GCTCCACACTGCAGGTTCCTTAGAAAGGACACAGGAAACGAACTTGATAAATCTCCACGCTGAAACACAGCTCACATTTTTTAACCTTCTTACCCTCAACCCCGTCCAACGTGAACCCGAGGAAAAGCAGCAGAGCCACGGGAAGCTATTTTGGAGGAAGGATATTTCCGCTTTTACTCTTTTTATCCATCTTTCTTTTATTTTTTACACTAAAGGACAATAAAGCTGTGGGTGTTTTGCCCGGGCCTACCTTCAAGCCGGTTAAGCTCATTGCAGTAACGATCTGTGGGAATATGCAGGACACGCTGGCGTTATATTTGCAGACGTCCTTCTCCGCTCCGTCGCTACTTCACCTGCCGGTCTCCAATCAGGAACACCTGCTGTGTTTTTCCGTGGAGGGTTTTGGAGCTTTAACCCCGCGAATTAATTCGTCTAAATATGTCATGTTTAAAATATCAAATAAGTTTGGTGCCAGTTCTGAGCACTCAGCCCCACCACGTGATCTCCTGCGTTTTATTGATTAACATAAATAATATTCTGATAATTGATTATATTTACATTTTATCGTTTCACGGTTTCCCTTAAAACAAAGGGAAAGAAAATAAAAAGAGGCAAAACACAAACATCTTTTTTTAGTTCCTTCGTGGATGTGCTGATAAAATTGGTTTTATATATCAAGAAGCTTCCAGCAGGGGGCGCTATTGTCACCTCATAGTTCCGTGCTTTGTCATCTCATCACCGTTTACAGCAGTGGCTCCCAAACTTTTTTTGCTGCGCCCCCCCCTTTGTTTTACAAGAGAAATGTTCGCCCCCCTCCCTCCCGTGCACACGCATGCGCTCAACTGAAACACATCCTCCAACCACACGCGCCCATATTTTTGCTCCATTGCTGTTTATTTCACACCTCAAACATTTAGTAAACAATTAAACGAATACAAGTAATCTGCAATAAATTACAGGTAGTAATAAAATAAACTACTAACTCTTTTTCACTATGTCTGCACCTACACGGGTGTTTTTGAAAACAAGGCTGTTTCGTCCATGTAAACGGCGTTTCAAATCACCGAAAACGGAGATTTTTTAAAACTCCTTTTTTGCGTTTACGTGTGGACGAGGAATACAGAGTTCATCACAAAGGTATGTGCCTTTTTCACGTCACGCTGTGGCCACGTTATTGTTTACATGAGATGAATTGCAGAATGGCAGATAGAGACAAATACTGTTAATCTGACTGTCTGCAGGTTTTACACGCAGTTACTGT